TGTGCTTATGAGGAAATTGTACATAGACCAAAAAGGCAATCACTCAAACAGAACAACAGGATACTGCATGGTGTCAAGTCAGGAATGGTGTGCATTTGGTTGTATCCTTTCAATCTGTATGCTGGTCAGTTAATACCAGCAGCTAGTCTATATGAAAAAGAATGTGACATCAGGATTGGAGGAGGCTCATTACCAACTTGCAATATACAGATTATAAAGCCTTACTTGCTGAAAGTGAAGATGACTTGAAGCATTTACTGATGAAGATCAAACACTACAGCATACTACAAACATACATATGGATGTATGGATTACATCTCAGCATAAAGAAAACAAAAATCCTCACAGATGGACCAGTTAACAACGTCACAATAAATGGGGAAAAGACTCTGGTTGTGAGGGATTTCATTTTTCTGGAATTCATATTCAACAACCATGAAAGCAACAGTCAAGAAATCAGATGTCGTATTGCACTGGCTACATCTGCTGCAAAAACCCCTTTAAAGTGTTAAAGAGGAAAGATGTCACTTTGATAATAAGGTGCACCTGACCCAACCCATGGTATTTTCAGTAGCCTAATATTCATGTGTAAACTGGATAGTGAGTAAGGGAGACTGAAGAAAAATTTATGCATTTGATTTGTGGTGTTGGTGAAGAATATCACAAATACTATGAACTGCCAGAACAAACCTGTCTTGGAAGAAGTATGGCCATAATGTTCCTTAGAAGCAAGAATGGCCAGACTTCATGTACTTTGGTCATGTCCCCAGAAGGGACCCACATCTGGAGAAGGATATCTTGCTTGGTAAAGTAGAGGGGTCAGTGAAAAAGGGGAAGACCCTTAATGAGATGGATTGACAGTGGCTGCAGCAATGGGCTTAAGCATAACACTTGTGAAGACTGAGCAGTGTTTCATCTATTGTAGATACAGTGGCTGTGAATTGGAGCCAATATGATAAATGTAACAATAGCAATATTTCAGAAAGGATGCTGTAAGGTAATACTATTATGCAATATGTAAAGAAAATATTTGATCTTCAGTAAGTGCTTCAACTCCTCTTAGCTTTCAGCAAGCAAGGTTGTGTCATCTGCATATCATATGTTGTTAATAAGTCTTCCTCCACTCCTGATTTCAATTTCTTTTTCATACAGTCCAGCCTCTTAGATTATTTGCTCATCATACAGATTGAATAAGTATGGTGAGAGCATAGAACTCTAATACGCACTTTTCCTGAATTTAAACTATGTGGTATCCCCTTGTTCTGTTCTAATGACTGCCTCTTGGTCTATGTACAGGTTCCTCATGAGCATAATTGATTGTTCGGAAATTCCCATTCTTGTTAGTGTTAGCCAAAGTTTGATATGATCCACAGAGTTTAATGCCTTTGCATAGTCAATAAAACACAGTAAACATCTTTCTGGTGTTCCTTGCTTTCAGCCAAGATCCATCTGACATCAGTAATGATATCCCTCATTCCATGCCCTCTTCTGAATCTGGCTTGAATTTCTTTCAGTTCCCTGTTGAAGTACTGCTGCTATTGTTTTTGAATTATCTCCAGCAAAATTTTATTTGTGTATTATATTAATGATATTGCTCAATAATTTCAACATTTTGTTGGATCACCTTTCTTTGGTACGGGCACAAATAAGGATCTTTTCCAGTCAGCTGGCCAAGTGGTTGTCTTCCAAATTTCTTAGTATAGATGAGTGAGTTCAACCAGCTTTGCATTCATTTGTTGAAACATCTTAGTTGGTATTCTGTCAGTTCCTGGAGACTTTTTTTTTTTTTTTTTTTTTTTTTTTTGCCAGTGCCTCAGTACAGTTTGGACTTCTTCCTTCAGTTTCATTAGTTCTTGATCATATGCCACCTCCTGATATGGTTGAACATCCACCAATTCTTTTTAATACAGTGACTCTGCATATTCCTTCCATCACGCAACTCATATGCATATGAAAACTGGACAATGAATAATGAAAACTGAAAAGTAATTGGTGCATTTGAATTGAGGCATTGGAGAATATTGAATATACCATGGACTGCCAGAGTATGAACAAATCTGTCTTGGAAGAAGTCCAACTAGAATATTTCTTAGAAGCAAGAATGGTGAGACTTTGTCTCTCATCCTTTTGCCATGTTATCAGAAGGCACCAATCCCTGGAGGAGGATATCATGCTGGGTAAAGTAGAGGGTCAGTGTAAAAGAAGACCCTCAATGAGCTGGATTAACACAGTGGTTGCAACAATGTGCTCAACCATAGCAATGATTGTGAGGAAGGCGCAGGACTGGAAAATGTTTTGTTCTGTTGTACATGGGGTCACTGAATCAGAACCAACTTGAGGGCACCTAACAACAACAAGAAAGAAAAGAAATGTTTATGATGAATGCCAGCATAATGGTTACATGGGTTAGAGGAGTTCATAATGTGTTTCCTTGAGTATTGTTATTGTGGTGGTTGCCTAGGGGTTGTTTTATGATAATTCATTTATGCTTTGTGCACTTGTTGGAGTATGTGTTATATTTCATAATAAAGAAGTTAAAATATTTATTTGAAATTTTTTTAAATTTTTATTTGTAGCTTAATTTGGATAGAATTTACATATTCATAATGTGGGTCTTCTGGTTCAAGAACAGAGTACGTTGCTTATTTATTCAACAAAGTTTTGAATACTCTTTAAAATAGATTATGATTAGTGAGATTAAAGGCATTATAAGCTTTTGAACACAGTGACTCCTAGGCTACCCCAACTTTTATTTCATTACCTCTTTAAATTTATTCCATTTGGGTTTATAGTATGCTTAGGCAGAAACAAACAACCATAGCTATAGGTGTTGTATTCAACCACGTTCTACTAATCCTCTCTGTTGCTGTTGCTACTACAGTCAAGAATGTCAGACATCACCTGCATAATGGCTAGTGTTAGCTTACTTTTTACTTCTCAGCTGTCTGCTACATATGTAATTACCCAAAGGAACAACTCTGTCATTTGTGGAGAAACTGAGATGCAGATTTCAATAAATTTATTTCCTTTAACAGCTATAGGTCTTCCCCTTCCTCCTCCCACATTCTAATATAGATTCCTCTAATTTTGTGTTAAGGAGCTCTGGTTGAGTAGTAGTTAAAGCATCCAGCTGCTAACCAAAAGGTCAGAAATTCAAAACCACCAGCCTTTCCATGTATAAAGATGAGGTTGTCTGCTTCCATAAAGATTTGCAGCCTTGGAAACCCTGTGAAACAGTTCCACTCTGTCCTAAAGAATCACTATGAGTTGGAATCAACTCACTGGCAGTGGAGTTTTTTGGGATTTAATTTTGTGCTGCAGTCCTTGGGTTGTGCAAATCAATAAGCACTATACTACTAGCCAAAAGGTTTGTGGTTCAAATCCACCCAGAGGCACTTCAGAAGATATTGTTGTTAGGGGTCATTGAGTCATCTCTGACTCAAAGCAACTCTGTCTACAAGAGAATGAAACACTGCCCAGTCTTGCACCATCTTCACAATTTTTGTTATGCAGAAGAGCTAAATAAAACACTCCATCAATTGGGCCTTATAGACATCTACAGAGCACTTCACCCAACAGCGACACAATATACATTCTTCTTCAGTGCACGTGGAACTTCTTCCATGATAGACCTTATGTTAGCCCATAAAGCAAGCCTTAATAAATTTAAAAACAATTTTTGTTATGCTTGAGCCTGTTGTTGCAGCCACTGTGTCAGTCCATGTCATTGAGGGTCTTCCCTTTTTCACTGACCCCTGCTTTACCAAGCATGATATCCTTCTCCAGACACTGGCTTTTTCTGACAACATGACCAAGGCACATGAAATTAAATCTGGCCATTCTCACTTCTAAGAAGCATTCCAGCTGTATTTCTTCAAAGACAGACTTCTTCATTCTTCTGGTATTCCATGGTATATTCAAATTCTTTGCCAGTACCACAATTCAAATGCATCAGGTCTTCTTTGGTCTTTCTTATTCATGATTCAGCTTTCATATGCATCTGAAGCTATTGAAAATACCATGGCTTGGGTCAGGTGCACCTTAGTCTTCAAAGTGACATCTTTGCTCTTTAATGCTTTAAAGAGGTCCTTTGCAGCAGATGTGCCCAGTGCAATACGATATCTGATTTCTTGACTGCTGCTTCCATGGGTGTTGACTGTGGATCCACATAAAATGAAATTCCTGACATCTTCAATCTTTTCTCCATTTATCATGATGTTGTTTATTGGCCCAGTTGTAAGGATTTTTGCTTTATTTATGTTGAGTTGTAATCTATACTGAAAGCTGTAGTCTTTGATCTTCACAGTAAGTGCTTCAAGTCTTCTTCACTTTGAGCAAGAAAGGCTGTGGCATCTGCATAGCACAGAAGATAGGCATGGTGATATGCTTCCAAAAGATCACAACCACTGAAACCTTATGCAGCACAGTTTGCTCTGAAACTCATGAGGTCACCACTAGGGAACTGACTCCACAGTAATTGATAATTTTGTGTTTCACTGTCTGATTTTCAATGTTAATTGGAAAAATTGAAATTTGAGGCCCCTGAGTGGTTAGGGTGAATGTAGGGGGAGCCAAGTAGTAGAATATAGCCCAAGTCCAAATCTAAAGATGGATAGCAGAGTAAGGTAGGCTCTGTCATAGCAGAATAACCAGAGGGAAAATCTCTCTAGATATAGTTTCTCATGAGAGAAATACTCTACTTCCTGAAAAAGTTGAAGGTTCAATTATTAGGGACAAGTATACTGAGTTTGTTGATAAACTTTAAAATAAATAAAACTATAATATTGTTTGGTGAAGAAGAGGTGGAAAACTTATTTCATGTTTATTTGCTAAGGCTTCTTCTTTTTTTTTTTTAAAGAGGCAAACTGATTAATTAATAAATAATTATTTGATAAATAAAGACAGGATTTGCTGTATCCTTTTCTAAATGTTCTGGTTGGATTTATTTCCACACTTGCCCTTCACCTTACCTTTATCTCTGTACTCTGTGTTTCAGGGAGTATTCAAATACTGCAATGTGGATGTATTTGTCATGGATTACCACTTTCTGGACATAATGATGATCTTCGTGCTGTATGGCTGGTCTACCATTCCCCTCATGTACCTGCTGAGCTTTCTGTTTTCTAAAAGTACTACTGCATACATCAAGCTCATCCTATTCAACTACTTATCAGGCATTTTCAGTCTCTATGTAGACACCGCAGTACGATACATGGGTAAGCAATTAAGAAAATATCTTCTCCAGAAGACAGCAGTAGATAATAGAGAGGTGTGGGCTTGCATCCATCTAAGAATATTAGCAGACAATTAAGTTCTAGGTTTTTCGGGAACCCCTGTACTTTTGTTTTTCTTTTTTCTTTTTCTCCTATTGTGATTTGGGTGAAGATTTACATACCAAATTCACTTTCCCTACAGCAGTTCACATATACTTTGTCTCATGACATTCACCACAGTTTACTACAATGCAACAGCTCCCCTCCCA